TCAGATGAGCTTTTGTGAGTTTTTGTTATCATTTTTTATGAAATACAAAAGAACGCACTGCTTCGGACGGAAAACTGCACTGCATCAGAGAGTCAAGCGAACTTCATGATTTTCTTGTCAGGCTTAAATTTTCTCAAATGAGCTTTTGTGAGTTTTTGTTGTCATTTTTTCTATGAACAACAAAAGAACGCACTTCTTCAGATGGAAAACCACACTTCAACAGACAGTCAAGTGAACTTCATAATTTTTTTGTTGGACGTAAATTTTCTCGAACGAGTGCAAATGAACCTCGACATACATGGAAGTGAACAACATTACTACTTTTTGTTTAGCTAATTTTTTCACACTTCAACGCTTTGTGCTACTAAACATCATAACTCTCAAAAGTGAACCACATCCGAGGACCAAACGCATTGCATGTGTTGATGTAATCAATTGATTTTTTAAAAACACACGAAACAAATTGCACTTCATACATAGGGTTATGAGTTGCTACACAAATTGGAGTGAATTACTTTTTCCAATCGTCCCATAAACAAAACAAATTGCATCAGAGAAAGAAGTGAACCTCCCGTGGGGATTTCTTTCTCTTTTTTTACAAATTGAACCACCAAGGGGCTGCACTTTTTCCCACTGTTTTTTGTGTGTGATTGTTCTGAGCTGCGTGGGATGAATGTAGTGTACTGCATGTGCCTAAAATTTCTATTACATATCGAACAAACCAGAAGCATCATTACAAATAAACTTCACTTTTTACATAGCGAGCGAACCACAAACAACTGGGCCGCTAGTGTTCATCGAGTGCACTTCCTTTTCTACTAACACCCTCAGGATCATTTGGATAATTGCGGCCTGCAAAGAATAAAAAGTGAACCTCGTCCATAGTTGTTTTTATACAAACAGAATAACCACACACCCCACAATGAATTGCAGCGATTTTCATCAAGTTGCTACTTTTTTTTCTTTTTCTAAAATGAGGTTCACCGCGGACGCGGACGAAGCGAGCTGCACTCAAATGAAAGGGGGTCCAAATAAAAATCCAAGCTCTGCAAAACAGCAGAAACAGTCCTGCAAACAACTGCTGCCAAAACTGCACGTCGACGGGCCGCGAGCTGCCCCCGCTATAGATGTAGGCTGCAACATACTCCGGCCGTGTGGACTACACCGTGGATGATGGAGCAAAAGGTGGAGGACTTGCAGTGCGGGCAGGTGTGCACTGCACACGGTAGAGGAGGGCGGGATGGTGTTGAACTCTGGTAGCCAGATAGCGGCGACGCGCAGACGAGTCCCAGATCGGGCCTGGAGTCCCGTTGCTACTCGAGGGACAGGGGTCACGGTGATAGAGAGGAGAGAGTAGCAGGTGGAAAGGGGTCACGGTGGAGCTGTTGCTCACCTGACAAACAACGACTTCAAGGACGTCGGATGCGTGGGTCAGGGCGAGCTCTAGGGAGATGAAGTCGAGGAGTCGTCTCGGGGCACGCTGCTTGTCAGAGAGGAGACTGAGAAGGGGGAAGCCCATGGGAGGCCGCCGGCCATCCCCGGATCTGGGCAGGGCCACGACGAGGACCCAGCCCGATGCTCTATCGGAGAGGAGCTGGAGGGAGGAGCCCGTCGTCAGGTCCAGATCAAGGCAGTAGGCATGTGGTGGAGGAAGAACATGTTGTGTGGGGGCCGGATCCGGTGTCATGGCAGGTCGGCGGCGCACCGGAGGCGGTCGTGGCTTCCGGTAGCGTTGGAGCAAGTTTGGGGGCGCGGGGGGCAGATGAAGGATGAGAGGGGTGCCAGGGGGCGCGGTCGCTCGGGATCTAGCGCCCGAGCCACGCCGGAGCGACGTGCTTGTGGGGATGGGGATGGAGGGTGGTCGCGCATAGGTGTGGGTTGCGGTCGGGAGAGGTGGGTGGGGGCTCGACAGGGGAAGAAGGTGGGTTTGGTGGGATCGGGGTGGGTGCCTGGGGTGGGTATTTACAGTTCAGTGGGGTTCTGGCACGCGCGTGCTAGTGCGGGGTATTCCGATGGCGTGTTAGCGGAATAAGAAATACTAGCAAAAAGGCCCGTGCGTTGCAACGGGAGAAAAAAATACCACACACTCTTAATTTACAAAAAATGGTCTATAATCTGAGAATTTATAGCTACGGCCCAAACAAAGATGGTCTTAACCTACAAAAGTGCGGTTTAAGATTCCACAGGTATTCTATTTCAGTACAGCTTGCATATAGATATAGTCCGTATAAAGAAACGGGCAAGTGATCATGCATTTATTCATGTCATGTGTGAAATGAGGTATTGTTACGGGCCGATAAAGGAAAACGACAAAAACAGACGATGACACATTAGCACACTACGGAGACATGTGTGTATTAAGGGCGGTTTTCAGTTTAAGCATCACCAACTTAGGGTAACTCTTGAACACTTTTTCCACATGCATATTTCTTAGATACATAAAGAGTTGTTAAAAAGATACATGATTTTTTAAGCATAAAGAGAGATTTTTTTTAGTCTGGAAAAGAACAATTTTGTGTGACTGGGAAGATGCCCTATTTATTTCGCCGATTTTCGCCGGAAGACCCCCAAGACACCAACTTTTTTGGTTCGGTGGTGTTTTTAGGGGTCTCTAACTTGCTTCATCTATTGAAAGAGTAGCGGTGCATGAAATAGTACGTGGATCGGTTATATGTTTTGCTTTTGAAAAAACACAAATATTTGTTTATTTTTTTAAGAAATTCAACATTTTTAAGTTTTTTTTAATTGGAATTGAAACATGTTTTGAGGCCGAACATTTTATGAACACATGATTTTTTTGTATTTTTTTTGTGAACAATTATAAATGTTTTTTTAATTGAATTTTTTTTGGGAATTTTCAGCATTTCCTAAAAGTGTGAACATATTTAAAATATGTATATATTTTTTAAACCAAGAACAATTAGAAACTCTCATTATCTTAAAAAACACACGCTCAGTGCCTGTAAATAAAGAATGATTCCTGGTGTCCGGACCATGAAGTATAGAGTTAGAGCATGGTTAATAATATAGCCGGCGGTTGGCTATATGATCTTGCCACATCATCTATATCCTACCTTATAGCCAGCAAGTACAATAGTTACATATAAATATGTACTACTTTAGTGATACATGACACATCTTTCTCTCTCACAAAGTGTATAGGAGCGCGTGCTACAGCCGACTGTTAATCAGTGCCCGCTTCTCTTCTCTCTCCTTTTCTCTCTCCTCCAACTCATCAAAAACATAATATTTAAACCCTAACGACCCGCCTACATCATCCTATTCTACTTGCTCTTAAAAAGTTGTAGTGGTGTCCTTTGATGGCGCCTCTTTCAGCTTAGCACCATCACTGGGTGAAAGAGTGGTGTATTTATTTTTAGTGGGTCATACAAATGTTAGAATGTTCTGTACTAATTGAGAGTTTATTAACTAATTCAAAAGTTTTGTTAGAATTTTCAAAAGGTTTAAATTCAAACGGATTTTTACTATGTTGGATTTTTTAGAGATAATTGTTTGTTTGATTTGGAAGAGTTCAAATATGCACGTGCATTACAAAAGGAGGGAAGATTGATGTATCCACCAAAACACCCATCATCATAGCATGGCGGGGGTAGGGAGGTGCATGCCGATAGATTGGTCAGTTTCTCTTTAACCATGAGAACCAACCTCTGGTTGGATTGGATGGTTTGGAGGGCGGTGGTACCCCAGTACCAACATGAATTAAAATTTAGCTTTGACGCTTTCATGTCTCACGAAGGTGAAATATTATTTCTCTGGATGGCGATTTTTGTGTCGATAGCGAGACGCTTGTGGTGCGTTCATCAATCTCAAAACCTGTCCGGTCAGTCTCTCTAGGGGTTAGTGTATGTATGTGTGTGAGTCTGTGTTTGTACTGTGTTTTTCAAAAGAAGGTTCCATCTAACCTTTGTATGCAGCAATTTAATGTGTCGTGCGTCCCATCGGAAGGAGAAAATCATCGCATGTTTTTAGTGTCTCATTCATGTTGCCACTTTTCATGTTTGCCACCATCCTCAATGATGATATGATTTTTGGTGTTCGTAATTCAGAAAAACTTGATGAACCCACATTCATGTCCTTCGATGTTGCTTCAATCAGCATCACACTATCACCGGATAGGAGTAGTGGTGCATTGAAGTGAGATTGTTTATATATAGTTTTTTGTTAATATTCAAAAGCAAGCATGTTTTTGCTATGTTGATTTTCTTTTTAGAAAATGTTGGTTGTTTGGTTTGCAATACTACACTTGGACTTGGCCCAAACACAAGCCTTCTCGTGTTGATTGTAGGTTCTTTCTTTTTAAAAACACGCACATTTTGTAGAGTACAGAATCGCACACGCATCTCTTTCCGTTCCAGATCACAATAAAAAGGGAAAGTTTCCTAGCACATAATCTTAGTGTGCATGTATCCAACGGCTTGAAAAGGTGTCTGAGACTCCGTTAGCGAACCCTTTGAAATTAGTAGATCTTTTAGGGGTCTTCAAAATTAGTAGCTGAACTCATTTAAGAAAATAGCTAGCTCAAAGTAGAGGTGAAAGGCGATGATTGAATTTAAATGCATATTTTCTAATTAGTGCATCTAATTCAACTTTTTTAATAAATATCAATTTAGTCAAGCATATGCCTGTATGATCCTTCACGTTCGACAATATTTTTTTTAAGAAAACTTAGTCGGCTCTGCTGTACGAGATTACAATATTTCTTCTGGATAAACTATTGATGTCAAAATCCACAAATACGAATCATATGCATAGCACGCATGCACAACAATCATTGCCTTTCAACAGACTACAGTCAAATCACGAGCACGATCATAAACTATTGATTGACCCGACACCACATGGGGCGCATCGTCGGCTTGTTTCTTGCATGTTTACACCAATGTATATATGTACACACACACACCATATATGAGGTCTAGCTACGAACCTCTGGAGCATTTGGTACTGCTCCCATGCATGTACTACTGCAGTGCAGCCGATCAGGCGCTGTGCCCTAGAACCGGCGGGCTCCACTTCCCCATGTTGTAGATGTTTGTGAACGCCCTCATGTGTTTCATGCCATACTGAGTGAGTGATCCGCACTGGGACTCGAAATCTCGCACCTGACAGCAGTGATTGGCATCAGTACACAGTAAACTTAACCTGAACCGGAAACATAAAGAGTACTGCAGGGTGTTGCATATTTATGGGATTGTAAACAAGGAATTGTTACACTCACCATCGTCTTCAGACAATCCCAATAGTCTACTAATGGATGGCCAGGGCCTTTAGTAGCCTCAAGCACCGAAGGTCCCTCAAATCCAAAGGCAAGCTTCCCGATGAAACCGATACTGCTGTCGAGAAGCTTCCTGTGTAACACAGTTTCTTTGACCTCCCTGAGAGCCCTCTGCTTCTCCTCTGATCCAACATTTAACTGCTCATACTGAAAGCGAGAAGATACATTGTTAGCAGATAAATTTGGCAAAACAAAACACATGAAAATTAGTAGTAACAGAGAAGATGAGCTAGACAAGAAATATATAACTGGGATTTTACCTTCTTCCACATGAAAAGAATATCAACATCTCTTTGATTGATTGCGCCCTTGAGGCTGGGCGAAAGCAGCGGTCTGTTTATGATGCTTGACTTCACAGGATAGAAACCTTGATAAAGGAAAAGCTTGTCATCCTTGAATGTCTACCATACTCCATGACATGAGAACCGATATTGGAGTCATTTGGGGGTGCCGTTCTTGCTTTAACCACCTCGTACTGCTGCTTGATGGGTTCCTTCTGTAGATTGTGAGTTTCACTGCACAGTAGGATCCCATGGTTCAGAATAGCAAGACAACATACAGAGCATAAATATTACACCTGATGTTTTTTACCTGTCTTCCATCCAAGAAACACTGTATGCGTCACCCAAGCAGGTCATATATTCAGGAGGAGGTGGTGTTTACATCCCAGGGCAGTATGCTCCCCAGCTACTTTCTTCCGCATTTGCTGCTGTTGTAACATAAATATTAAGATCGTGTGGCATTAATCCCTCAAAAGATACTGCCACTTTCACATGCTTCAACATATATGATCTGCCAAAATAAAAAAGGTACATCATACATTTTTCCGGAGTGTTGATCAAAATTTCCAAAAACAGCAGCCCATTGATATTTGGAAAAGAGGTTTGAGCTGAACCATATCTTCAAGCAAGTTAATTCTCAATCATGTGTCAGGCATACAACATATTACTTCCTCGGGGTTGCTAGAACTAAATTTAACAGTACGAATAGCATAAATAGGTAATTTCTGATGGTCATCACAATACAGCAAACCAAACAAATAGAACATCTTTGTGACGGCGAAATTATAGGAAATCAGTATGATTCTATCTATATCAATCGACCAGAAGGTACAGGTTACAGTAAGCAACCGAAGAATATATAAAATCCTATCAAAACTCATGCTCTTTTCAAATTTCAGTTTCAAAAAGATTACAGTAAGCAACCGAAGAATATATAGAAGCCTATCAAAACTCATGCTCTTTTCAAATTTCAGTTTCACAAAGATCCTAAAACATAATAAACATGTCACAAAAAGCCATCAAAACAAGCCGATCAATCAATTCAGATCAAATTCTACTGACACGTCCATCTCCCTTGTTCATCCAGAAGGAAGCAGAAATAGGCGTCCTGACAGTCAGCGACACCAAGATAACCACAGCGGCATGGCCGTCAGCCCGACACCAAGGTTCTGGCTCCCACGGTCGGTCAACGTGGCTCTGCTACAGGACAACCACATGGGCATCGCACTGACTCGAAGACCACATGCATGTGGAGCATGAGCGTGGTGGTAGATTCCGACGACCACGAGTGCAGCAACTCCAGCAGCCAACAAACTTGTGTATGTGCTAGGTACTGTTGTTAATAGAAGGAACTTGCAAGCTTGCTATGAATGTGAGGAAAAAATGGCGCTGTAGACATGTGATGTCCTGACTTGATTGAACTGGAAACAGAAAAGAAAAACTGGGAGGGAGATGACCAATTGTCGAGCTGAATGTTGTGTGTACTTGTATTAGTTAAAACTGACCCATTCGCTGTACGATTTTATCTTTGAAAGATGGTTGGAAGAGAAATCTTATTTATATGTAGGTTAATTCTGCAGATGACAGGTCATGGTTTTGCTTGTTTGCAACCTGCAACATCTTAATTTCTTTACTTTGCACATGAATATGTAAATGGATGGAATTTACAGCATAACATCATCTATATATTACAAAATTTGATAGGCCCATGCAATTTGACAGCAATGTATCAGAAAACTTGGTTAACCAATGGTTTCTGCAACTCAAGTACATGGGGAATGAGTGATTTCTGCAGTTCAAGAACATGGCGATTGAGGACCAGATCGTGGGGAATTAGGAAAAGAGAGGAGATGAATGGATTACCTGATGGTGATGAAGTCCTCATTCGTACGCCACCCCTGGCCTGGTTGGTGTCGCCCCACCGGCCGGCTCTGAATCCCTCCGTCTGCAGCGCACGTCCTCCGTCGCTCGGCTCCTACGAGCTCCTGCCCAGGACACCGCACCTCCCCTCCTTTTTTCCTTCTTCTCTCCCTCGTCTCCATTCTTCTTTCTGCCCAGGAGCCGCGGATGCCATGGATCTGCCAGGGAAACCACGCTCCGGCCTCCCTCATCATCACCGACGACCCCTACCTCGCCGCCTGCCTCCGAATCGGCCTCCCCGGCCTCTGCCGCACACGGATCCGGCCCCTGCAAGCTCCAGCCGCCAGCTTCGTTCCGCATCGAGCAGCCGCCACCCCCTGACGCCGGCGTCGTTCCGCATCGAGCAACCGCCGCCCCCCGTCGCTCGTTATCCACGGGTCTTTTTCGCAATGTTTTCTCAGAGCCAGGATTGCGGGTTGAATACACCAAAATGGAGGGTCCTTTTTGCAAAAATTAAGCGTTTTATCTGGTAGCCACTTAAACAGGGAGCGCGGGTTGATTTCCTGTAAACCCAGGGGCTTTTTTGAAAGACAACCACGACGGACGACCAGAAGCAATAGCTGATTTATTAGTAAAAAATAGGTAAAGATAAACATATACCACTATATGGTAGGATGTATTTTCCCTATATAGGGTCGCGCTATTCGTCACCTGAGGTAATATTACGATCATTGCATAATTAAATTACCTTTCGAATTCAAATAGTTACATTCCTATTGATTCACTACGTAAAATTTGACATAAGAAAATAAAAATATATGTCATAAGACAAGAATTTTTTGCAGTTTATGTGTATTTTAGACTATGTTTTTACGTTTGTAATTTTACATAACATAAAATATTTTTTACGGTGATTATATATTTTATTACGGTCTTTTTTTGCGTCGAAAATAAGACAAAACTTACGGAACGTAAAATTACGATGCATTGATGGTAAAATAGAGGGGGTGAAGAATAACTATTCCTCACTCACGGTGACAAATAGGCACACACACACATCTGGGACTTGAACTGATGAATTTAAGCGGTTGAACTGACGACATTCGAGCGGTTGAACTCATGCTTTCTCTTGCTGTTAAAATCGTCTTCTTTAGTTCAAATTTTTTTGCATTTTTTGTCGAAACGGGGCGTGTAATATATCATTGAAAACCTCTTGACATCCACATTACAATCTTATAATTTATTTTTGCAAAAAAATTATGATTTAAGAGCAGTTTTGAAAAACCATTATTTTCAAAACCGAAAACGCGAATTGTATTTTGGACTTAATTTTCAAACGGTTTGTCGGAATTGAGCAAATGAGATGGTGTTAGAAAGCTTGTGAAAATCCGCATCTTCCATATATCTACTATTTTTTTAAATTCTATATGATTTAAAAGTAATTTGAAAAATGGTGAACTTCCGGGTGAAACGTTTTTTCACTGTTTTTTGCAAACGGTTTGTCGGATTGACGCAAATGATACGGCGTTGGAAAGCTATGGAAAATGTGCAACTTTTGCGTATAGAAAGTTTTTTCTAATTCCTTACAGTTTAAATACGAATTCAAATATGATTCAAATTGATTTTGAACGCGGTTTTTTAAAAAAGTTTGTCCAAATGAGGCAAACAATATACTGTTAGATAGCTATCGAAAATGCGAAAGTTAGTCATGTTGGACGTTTCTCTACTCCGCAACCGTTTAAGAGTAATCTTGAATACGGCATGACGGATCCTGCTGTTTTCTCGTTTGATAAACAGAGTAGTCGTACTGATATATGTATATATTTGTATTGAGCTATTTTTTGTAGAGTAAATTTAAATGGTTCCGAAAAAAGGTATTTTTCACTAACTAGACTTTGCTCCATTTTTTGGGTAATATTTTTCTCGTAAATTTTCAATGGTTTATTGTATCCTAGCCCTGAATTTGCATGATTTATATTGTTGAACTGAATGTTATTGTATCATCGCCCCTGTACTTGCATGGTTTGTCTCATCGAACTAAATGATATTTTTCCAACAAGAAAATGTTTTTTATTCATTTTTTCGAACTAAACATTTTTTACAACGATATTCTGGACTTCTCTTATTTTGTGACTTGTACTTCTACCATTTGAATTGCATGGTGTTTCTTTTTGCTTGAACTTTTATAATTTAAATTTATGTCATTTCTTTTATTCCGAACGGACCACCGTTTTTAACTTGTACTAATCAATATTTTTAATTAAACCATTTTTCCTTTGTAGAACGGACCACCGTTTTTGTTTGTACGGATCAGTTCTAGAACTTGAACGTCAACGTCACGGAATTACACTTTGGATGGATCACTCTCTCCCATCTCGCTGTACTGATGATTTTCATCTTGTCGAACTGATCGTCTTCTCGTCGGAATGGGGCGTGTAATATATCGTTGGAAAGCTCTTGACATATACATTATAAATATATAGGAATTTTTCACAAAATCATCATGGTTTAAGAGCAGTTTTGAAAAAACCGTTTTTTTTCAAAATCGAAAACGAGAATCGTATTTTGGACTAAATTTTCAAACATTTTGTTAGAATTGAGCAAATAAGATGGCGTTGGAAAGCTGGTAAAAATCCCATCTTCCATATATCTATTGTTTTTTCAAATTCTATACAATTTAAAAGTAATTTGAAAACGGTGAAATTCTAGGCGAAATGTATTTTCATGTTTTTTCGCAAATGGTTTGTCGAATTGACGCAAATGGTACGGCGTTGGAATGCTATGGAAAATGCGCAACTTTTTCATATTGAAATGTTTTTCTAATTCCTTACGGCTTAAAAACGAATTTGAATACGGTCAAATTTGATTTTGAACGCGATTTTTTTAAAGTTTGTCGAAATCGGGCAAATAATATACCATTGGAAAGCTATCGAAAATGGAAAACTTAGTCGTGTTGAACGTTTTCTCAAATTCTTAATCGTTGAAGAGTAATTTGGAATACAGTGAGACACGTGGTGCTATTTTTCCATTAGAAAAAACAGAGTACTTGTACGGATCTACATGTGCGTTTGTACTGATATATTTTTCATTGAGTAGTTTAGAAAGATTCCAAAAAAGAGTATTTGAACGGA